AACAGTAGTAATATAAAGAAGATTGTGAGATGAAACCAAAATTTATTACAATTACTGTTTTTGTCAATAACTTACTTTCACAAACCACATGCACTTAAGGTAGACTAAGATTTGGTGAATTTAAAAACGTCGTAGAAAAACATGTTTTTTTTTTTAAGCTTCATTATTTCTTTTCTTATGCAGGAAAGCATGGTCACCAATCCAAGAGACTTCAAATCCCTCACAGACCTGTCAAACCTAATCTAACTTCTAGAAACAAGAAACATGAGATTGTAACTCTAGCAGCTCCACCGAGTATTGGTGCTTTACTTCCCTCAGCGCATCATATGACCTTGATGCCTAACGGGGTACCGACAGAATTTGGAGGATATATCCACCACTTATTGCATCGCCATCTCCTGGACATTCCGGTTTACCATGGATATCATGGGGTTTATCCGGTTCATTTGCCACAACATTATGAACCAATTGGTCTTATTGGGCACCGTCTCTTCTACCGACACGGCCCTCCTTTCCTACATCGGTTTGTCCACAGTCCTTGGCCCCGACCGCTGAGACGTACCTTGGGCTATAAATATGATTCCCGTTTTGGTCATAGTCTCTGGCATGGTTCACATGTTGGACATAATATTCCAGCTGGTTATGGATTCGGATATAACGGCTATGGTGAGGGGGTCACTAGTGCATTTTTTGAGTTTAGAGATCGGTGTAATGAAATTCAGTGACATTGTATTAAATTTGTAGTATCCCTTTATTCATCATAATACATAAATTTAACCGTAGTCTGGAGCGTGTTATTTGTATGTATTCAACATTGATGAATCTGATACAATGGAGTTCATATATTTTGAACTGCGGTATTAAATACGTACGATGCACGATCCTTCGCAGTAGATAGCGCTATTGATGAATCTATAATCTATTCTCTTCTCTTGAGGTTACCGGGGCTTCCAACCGCTGAGGGGCTGGTACCCATACTCATTTGATCATAGCGTTGATTTGCGTGGCGACAGTGGCCCAACCACCATGTTTGTTGAAAGAAGTTCAATACGTGAGTTTTAAAGTAAACACTAAGTTTTACTGATGAATCTTTGAGAAACAAAACTAAAAAATTACTAGGTAATAAAAATCTAGAGAACCATCCTGATGCGCTTGTAACTATGCCGACGTTAATTCTCTCGTATGGTGAAACGAGTGTTGTTTTTCCTTCCCGTGATGAATGGCAGTTGTATATCATGCCAGCCTAACACTAAAAGAGGTTTCATTTTTCTTTCAATTGCAGCTACATCCAAGAGAACTGGACAAGGCAGAAAGGTTGATGTTCGTCGGCTGCTTAAAACTTGGCGTAATTTAATACTAACAAAGCGGATACCATTTGCATTTCCTCTCAGTCGGTCTAAGTTTCGCTATCCGTTAAGTCGCAAACTTCTTCCATTTGGCCTTCGTATTCAGCGTTTCAAGATGAGCCTGGCTCCGTTGAAAAGAATGCTGAAGCATTCCAAGACGTATAATAACTTAATGATTCATGACAAAAAAAAAAAAGGAAAACCCACCGTGAGAAAAGGTTAAATAAAAGCTAAAAATCGTATTTTGAGTTATTTGGCGAGAAATAAGCAGAGAGTACACTCACAGGCAAACTTGTGTCGATAACCGTAGCACTAATGTGATTAGGTTTAATATTACAGGGTGAAACCTCCTTCAACTTTCATACAAAACGATGCGTCAAGAAATATCCATTAACCGTTATGTTGATCGTGCGAAATGAAACATTGCTTTATTTACATTTTTTTTTTGTATTTTTTCTTTTCTATTTATATCTTTTGTTTCTCTACCTATCGATTGTAATAAATTGATGATAATAAAGATCAATTAATCCATAGTTGTGTGACTCTAAGAGTTGTTTTGATTACGACTTTTCTTCCCAATCACGATGTTCTTGACGATTACAATTGAACATTGGTGGTCATTTTCAAAACATAGTCTGTTTGCCGTGATTATGTTGTTTCTCGATGTTCATTGACTTACGATTAGAATTCCATTCTAGGCAATTCTTTCACAGTTAGGTGTTAGCATCAGATTGCTGAATTGTTAGATTAATGTTTTAGATTACCATACTTCCATCGACGACGGTCGAGATAGTTGAAAATCCAGAAAGGTAACATGAACAAGTTTTCTAATTATGAGACCATTTTTGAGAAGAGCGTCTGAAACCAAAATGAAACGACCTATAAGGTTCAAAGTCAGACTCTGGACCTTCTCATATTAACTCATAGACAGCCCCGCTGGATTTAATTTCTTGTCATCCCGATTTCTTTCAATCTCCCGTCTGAGTTCGGGTGCTTTGTAGCCCATCAGCAAAAGTAAATTTGGGACGTAAAAGGCAAAGATAAATTTGAAACGTGGAAGTTTGACATCTTAAGGACAGCCGGTAAGATGTGTATGGCAAATGCTTTGATGTCGTCAAGTTAACTTAAACTTTGATTGTTGCAAGACCGAGCGATAAATGTTTGTTTCCTCATAAGACATTTTTTGAAGTATTAGACTCCAAACTAACCTAGGCGCGCAGTAGATGGTACCCGTCACACAAGCTGCGCAATTAAAAACAAAACAGGTTGCTTCAAGCATAATTAATTTCTTTGTTCGATTTGGCCTCTTTCTAATGGGTTGATCAAACAAGTACTTCCATTGAATTTTTGCTGCCAGCACTCGTCCTAATAAGGGAGGGCTACTTCTAATCACATATTCCTCACGTAAGTTATGATATCTACGCTACGTTCTCCATGATTTTATACAACAGTTGTCGCACGCTGTTTTGATTAGGCTTTGATCTAATAAATTGGCTAAATTTGTTTGTAACTTTCACAAAGTGTATCCGTAATAGCAATTTCAACTTTTAGACAATTTTCAATTTTCAACCAAACTGTGTCTAACAGAATAATTAGTCATCTTCCATGATTAATTATTCTTATCCTTAGTTAGAACAGTGGGCCGTTAAGTTGTTAAAAAGCTCTCTCCACCTGTATCGGGGCCGTGACATTTATAAATAAACTTTGCTTTTGACTTTAAAAGTCACAGTTCGCACAGCTCGCGATATTCTCACTTTTATTCAATGAAGGAAAGATACGTCAAGCTAAAGGTAGAAAAGAAATCTCACTAGGATCTCGAAAATATTACCTTAGTAAAGTTGGCTGGTAGCATTCAGCAATTTATCTTTTATCCAGATCGTAAATATAAAATAAAAGAAACTTTCATCGACCGTCGCCTTTGCTTTGACTGTGATAATTTATTATCATTTTCTCTTTCAAAAAGAAAACAAGATACAAAGTGGAAAGGAGTTAATGATATAGTGGATGCCCTTTTTCAGAGATTGAAATAGAGCGACCATATTTCGTGTTATTCCGTGTGCTATATATTTCAAAGACAGATATGTTCTTTTTTTTTTCATTACAATTTTAGGTGAGGCAAAGTACAATGGTTATGGCAAATGCTAGAGCAATTTTCCTGTTTTTACTTATTTGTTCCATCTTGAAGTTTGGAAGTTCATCAAGAAGAGGTACGATCTCATAGAATAAATTCCCTACAAAATAAATTGTATGTGAAGGTAATGAGCGGCCATGGAATCACGCCACTTTGTACTGAACATGCGTCGAATGACCTAAGTTTAAAAAGGAGAACCCTCAACCACTGAAAAAAAGTTTTACTTCTTCTGACAGAATAACACTGTTATGAATTAGGTTAGTCAGTTAAGTTTAATGTATTCGTTTATTCATATCTAGCATTTAATTACTATTTGAATTCAAAGTTCGAAGTCAATAACATTTAAGCTATGACGATAAATTCCTTAAAGTGCACCTACACCCAAAAAATTTTTTTCGCTTAACGAAGTAAGCTTATTTTTTTGAGTATTTCTGCGCAAAAATTTTTTTATTTGCTCAAATCTTCAATTTTCTATGCCCAGTCAAAATACGGAAAATCGGCCGCCATCTTGCCCCACGACCGAGTTTAAAGAAGAATGGCTCTAGCGGGTAATGTGACGTCAAATCGAGAACACGAAAGTCTGCATCTCACACATTTTCACTTGTTTGGGAAGATTGTCGTCGATATTGTCCGAAATATGCCGACTAGGTGTGTTGTATGAAGAATGTATGAAGCGCGATACCCTCTTGCAAATTTCGCACGTTGCTACATCCTTCTACAACACACTTAGTCGGCATATTTTCGGACAATTATCGACTACAACCTTCCCAAACAAGTGAAAATGTGTGAAATGCAGACTTTCGTGTTCTCGATTTGACGTCACATTACCTGCTAGAGCCATTCTTCTTTAAACTCGGTCGTGGGGCAAGATGGCGGCCGATTTTCCGTATTTTGACTGGGCATAGAAAATTAAAGATTTGAGCAAATTAAAAAATTTTTGCACAGAAATACTCCAAAAAATAAGCTTATTTCGTTAAGCGAAAAAAAAAATTTTGGGTTTAGGTGCACTTTAATCGTGATACTCTTGTCTAACTTCCATTTTTGAACGTGCTTAGTTTCTCTTCTAACATCGCCTTGGACAACTACACTAAAGTTCTTATTTTGGCTTACGCAGTCAAAGATTGATTGGGTTGATCAGAAGTAATAACGGTTCAGCTAGTTTCCACTGTCATTACCTCTTGACAATACTAAGTTCTTATTATTGCTTTAAACTACTTCGTCTTGTCAATCTGGCAAATTCCTAACCATTTCTTTCAAATTCAATGTAGGAAAGAAAAAGCATGCGGCAGCTTATCATAACTTTGACAAAGTAAAAAAGCAACAGGTTGTTGTTCCGCTCACAAACTTTCCACCCGACAGCTACGTTCAGAACAATATAATGCCGTCACAAATTCTTCACTTGGACGGGACGAACGAGCTCAGTCCTTTAAAATCGCCAAGCACTGTATTTTTAAACGGTGAAAATGAAGAGGATCAGACATACCCCTCAATAGATGATAGCCACCAAACGGATACCAATGATGAACCTTATCCAGAGTCACCCACTGAGGACAACACCTATAACACAGCCTACTCGTCTTTGTTCGGGAATGAGATGGAAGACTACCACGATGTTGTCAATAATGACGATAACAACGCGGCCCTTAAGGACAATAATGGCCAAGCTACCTATGATGAGCAACCTAATGAAGAATACGTGAATGATGACACTGGAGAAGAACAAAATCCACCGGTAAGGACCACGTTACCAGAATTCAACAATTATCGGAATAGTTATGTGTCAAATACTGCTATGCAAGGTGCCCTCATTCCTACGCTATCTGGCTTAATTGCCTCCCGAACAAGAGCAATAAAAAGATTAAACTTACTAGGTAAAACACAGCATACATCTACTTCGTCAAAGTATGCGCCATTGGTGAAACAGATTCATGAAACTAGAGATCGAGGAAGTAATAAAATCAGTTCCAGCCCATTCTCGGATGGTGACGCATCCGAAGCAGCTAAGAAAGATAATGCAACCCAAACTCATAACCATAATCAGCACGCCAGTACCACTGATGAGACAAAGGTTAAAGTAGAAGATAGTGAAAAGGAAGAATTGCGATACAAGAGCATGTTAAAAAGTGCTGAAATGGCAGCAAATCTAGCCGATGCCGCAAAGACTCTGACAAACCTGGTCAAAAAGTTGACAGCGCAAGATACAAAGATCAGTCAAAAACAAGAGGAGGAGCATGCGAAACTGACACAGAACAATGAAGGTTTGTAATAATTTTATTCGATATTCTCGAACTCGCATGAGCTTAGGAGTAAAAATTAGATGTAGTGGTATGCATTATGATGCAAAAAAGCCTTTAACTCACAGGAGAGCGGCAGGGCTTGCCATTTCTAGCAGGTGACAAAAGGCTAAAATTGTTTTTCTTGCTCTCTAATTTCAGTAGATTTTACTAATAAACTTAAAAAAGTGTCTGGAGTATAATTGCAATCATCTTATTGAAGCCTTCAAAGTCGTGGCTTTGAATGATATCAAGTTGTAGATTTTATCGTTTTGCGTCAGTTGCCTAAAAAGCGGTTGTCCTTACACGATGTGCATCCTTTTCAAATTCTACGTTGAAATTGTTCGTTAGGGAATGCGTTGGTTACGCATAAGGTGATAAAAATACCGTCAATGTAGCGTGACCAAAGCGGTATCGTTTGTTGGAGAGTCTTACTGGCACAGGCTTACAGGCGCTCTCCGGCCTTGGTATTTTGCTCCACAGTTTTAGCATACATACATACATACATACATACATACATACATACATAGATACATACATACGTTACTTGACCACTCCCCATTGGGGCTTTTCAGGGCCAATTCCCACCCATCCCACCCCAGGGGAGGACATCCACCACACAGTAATCTCGTGCGTGGGAAATTAACGTCTCCTACCCCTACCCCTGCAGGAGACGGGGCCTACGGTTTATTCGCCCTTATCTAAGAAGACTAGAATATCCATCCATTTTTTGATTATAGAAAGGTAGCAAATTCTCCTCACTTATTTTAAGACCATGAGTATCGGTCCGGCCGGGGCTCGAACCACAACACAGTCGAACCACAACACAGTCCGGCGCTCTAACCAATTGAGCTAACCGGGAGGCGGTTGATAGCAAAAACGACGTACGTTGGCGAATCCATAGCTAAACCAGTAACTGTTTTCAATATTTACCCTGGTTTAATATTTTTCATTTGTTGAACGGTCATATTTTTCATTTGTTGAAATGTCATTGAGACCATGATGTCTCCCGCCGATAACGGTTGTACAGCGGTTTCAGTCCGATCCGTCATCTAGAGAATATCAAACACGTAGAAGTAACAGTGATGAAAATCACGGAAGACAATTGAATCAGAACCATCTATTTTCGTTCTTTGCCAGCGACTGACGATTCCTCACTTTCATACGAGCGGAAAAGTATAATTATCTAAGCAATTATATGTAGCGTTCAGGCGACGCTATTTCAACAAGACTAACGTGGTCTGACCAAGGACAACATCAGAAGCAGAATTGCTTCCTCTACACATAGGACAAATAACAAGCACTGATCAAACGACTGAAAAATGATGAAAACGTTTAACAGCTGACAATTAACGTGATACTATAGTTGACGTAGATAAATGACTACATGTCTAACGCCACAAAGAGAACTTCATTTATTTGCCAGATAGACCTCTATTCAGTTGTAAAAACCCGTAGATACTGCATGTGTGTGAGATTCGACTGAAAAGAAATCCGCATTAATAGAAGTATCTAAGGGTAGACCTAACAACAAGAAGAACTATGACAAAAAACTAACTGAGATAGTAACGTACTTACAATATGTGGCGTAACCGGTAGTAAAAGAGTAAAACCTCTTTACAAAGAGCAACACGGCGCAAGCAAAAACTAACGAAACGACTGACTTAGTTGAAATCAACTAGCCTCACGCAAAAATGCGAACTTAAATGAATAGAAATAGAACATTACAATAGTAGCACACTTTAAAGAAAAACAATATAAAATTATTTCGCAGTTGCTTGATAATAAATCGAAATACAAATTGTAGTTGTTGCAGTTTTCATTCATGATAAACAAAACTGAATGCTCAAGCTTGAGACTCGACTTCCGTGCCTTCGACACAAACTTATAAGCAATTTAGTAATACTTAAGCGATCTAAAGTAATTTACCCTTAGCGCTCTAACCGACGGATAAGATGCCCAGCGCCGCAACCACCGAAACTCTACACTTCGAGGCTGATATGATCTGAAGTGTTGTTCAGTGGGTCTTCTACAAATCCTGTGTCCAGGTACCTTACATCTACAAATCATGACCTCCTGTTAAATTTTTCTTTGCCATTAATGACTGATAGCTGCTGTTCCACTTTTATCTGCTGTTTACTGGGATCCCCATTTCTCAAGCTATCATCACAGTACATGCAAGACCTTACAAGATATTATGGAATTACCGAACCTCTACCGACCAACTTGCTTTTAGACAAAACTAATCTTATAAAAAGTTACGCGGGCAGAAGTTATGGGATTGTCAGTTTTGGTTAATTTTTTTGAGGAATTGAGACGCAAAATATACAAACTTTACGAACTGCTAACAAACGATACCATTTTGTATAATCTACGTCGATAATAGCTTACGCAACAACGACTATATCAAATAGCCAGAGCGCTGAGAGTCGATTTGCAAGAGAAATTTAAGGTGATGGAAAACTTCCCATGCGAAATTTTCTGTTAAGTCTAGAAGGAGAGAACTCATCACAGACAACAGTTACTGGGACCAGAATTTTACGTGGCTTAGAAGGCGACTTTCGCCGATCCTACGTTATTACTGAGGAGGCATTTTATCACACGAATTGAAAGTCTTTCTTGGGAATTTATCACACATCTCGAGAAAACCGCGTGCGCCTGTTTCGATTAAGTTATGCTCTCCCCTCTATTCTGACAAATACGAGAGGTAATGCAGCAGTATCAATGATGAGGGAGCGTTAACACGGATTTTTTCTATTGGCTAAAAACTGGCGGATACGTCACGGTGTTCCGCTCACTCGAAACCACGCTTACTATAAGCCGTTATTACCAAATAGTTCACGAGTGTGGTATGAGCACTTTGAACGTCTGAATTCTTGTGCGGCAAAGGCGCGACTCTACGTACAAAAGGCCATAAACCATAATCATTTTAAATTTCCGCCAGAATTATGTGTTAACAGGAGAGTCCATGCTGTTTTTTTCTGCCCACAGACAGCTACGAGAATGGTGGGCAATGGTCAGAATGGTCTGAGTGGTCACATTGTACGACAACGTGTGGTGGAGGGTTAACTTATTCCAAACGCAGGTGCATAACTCATTTTCCTTCAGGTCATGGACAGAACTGTACCGGCAAGGGTATTAAGGTTCGGCTTTGTCACGTTAACAGCTGTAAAACCACTGATGCAAAGAAAGTCAACCTAGAGCGTACGTTGAGTGAGATGGCAGAGGACAGAAGTCATATTTACAAGCCATCAGTATCCGGCATAAATGGATGATACATTAGCTATGATTTATTCTGGATTTCTGGTTTTGTCTACAGTTGGACACTTGGCAGTTCCTAAAATACCACAAAATTCCTATAATTGGCATATGTGTTCATCTGCCCTCTTTTTAGCCTGTAGATATTCAAATATATCCTCATGGGTAATATCGAAAATGGCATTGCTTATACACCTTGTTATGGAGAGAAAACGTAAATATACTTTTCTATGAACATGAATGAAAGAAATTCGATTTTACAAAGAAGAAAGGGGAAGGCTGGTTGTTTAAACGAAGGTATTTGGGAACTTACCCAATACGGCTTCTTGAAATGTTTTTCACTCATGTTTGATGTATCTCCGAGCTTCAAACTCCAATGTCGAAATTTTTTAAAATGATCGCAAAAAGATTAAGGCGATAGTCAAATACTAATTTCAACATGGATGACGTACAAAAATGAAGGCCGTAAAAACATGAAATTATTATAATGATATCATTTCAAGTCCTATCTACTCAGCATCAGGCCTGTTCAAGTGAAAACTTAAGCCTGATTTTCACTAGCGACGCAAGCACAAAGGCAAGCATAACAGCTCTCATTCACCGTCAAAAACGGCTTCGACGCACGCATAAACAGAAGCGCAAGCACAGGCTCAAAGATCAAAATTTTTCGTTTTTCTTATATGCTAATGCTTGTGCTTGTCGATGTTCGTTTTCATTTGGCATATAAACCTTAAGCTTGCGTCGCTAATGAAAACCAAGCTTCACTTAGTATTACGTATCAATTTTCGAACTAGCTCCAGCGCTTTCGTCGAATTTGTTCTACTTCGGATGTTTAAGAAAAGGATAGCCGGGTACTACCGATGTTTTAAACGATTCGTTGTTTTAAGTGTTTCTAATTGCATACCTTTATCGATTTTAGTTTAAAATTTGTTTGTATTGTTATTCGAAGACAAGTCACAAGGGAGAACAGTTTTGTAAGTGGAAACAATAGAGACACCAGTAACTAGAAATAACAAATTTATTCTGTGATTGAACCAAGGAAAGCTACTCTTCAAATTCGTCTGCTTTGGATAAAGTTTTCAAAGTTATATCGCTAGTCTTTTCTGTTTGACGAACATTATTTACTATGATGAAAACGAATAGGACTATCAAGCTTAATTCCCCAAAGACTAAAAAAGCGGTGCTGGTACCAAATTCATGAACCATCACACCTCCCAGGAGACCGCCACTGGCGTAACCAAGACCGGTGTAAAATCCATTAACGAGACCTTGAAGCGTTGTTGCCACACCAGGCTCTGCACCAACATGAGACACAAATGAAGACCAAACAGCGGCGGTAGTTACCCCTTGAATAAATTCGATTGGCAAAAAAAGCCACGGTCTGCTACAATACGAATAGTAGAAGAAACGCAGAGCGTAGCAAAGGAGTCCAAGGTACATCACCCGGAAATGTCCAATGTTTCGTAACAGCCGCTCTGATAATAGATAGACTACTACTTCTGCAGTGCTGTTGGATAGAATGATCAGTCCAAACAGTATTTGTTGGGCCCCTAGCTCGCGAAGATGCCAAAATAGAAACGTCTGTATAAAACCAAAAGCTGTGCCACAAAAAAATACGATGAATAGAAAAAACGCATAATCAAATTTCTTCAGCACTCTTAGTCCTCCTATAGCAGTTTCTTTGCACTGCGTGTGATCAACGGGCTTAAATTTAAAACGACTCGCTACGATCAATGCACCCACCATGAAAACTCCAAACACATAAAAACACGGAATATAATTAATGTCCATTTCCTTACTACAGGGATTAAGGGTTCTACGTCCACTTATCGATGTGCCAACGATGAAAGCTGTCATACCATAACCAACTGATCCCCAAAAAGCCTGCTTGCCGTATTCACGGCTATCCTCGGCGAGGATCTGCAGTGTGGCTGTATCTGCCAAACACTGCGTCGGTGATGCAAAAATCTGTCCAATTACGATAACGCAAACCATGAAAATGAACAATCGAGAGGAGTCGGATATTTTTTCAGGTGATGGATAATATTGCAGGTTCGGAAATGTGTCCTCCTTGAGTTTAGTCGACTTCTCAGGCTCGTAGCCATTTGAGAAAAAGCTCAAGGCCCAAGGAACAAATCTGCTGGTTCCAAAAATAGATTCATAAGAGCGAGTGTGGTCATGTTCAATTTCGTCGTTAGATCGGTGGTTTCCCGAAGTTATCTTGGTAAAATTTGTCAGTGTAGTGGAGCCATTTTGAAATAGTGACAAAGACAAAGAGTTCATCTCAAAACAGGCTTTCGGTTTTTCTCCTATCGGTATTATCGCCAATGAAAATGTTGACAATAGCCAAGCTGACAATCCTAATAATAAAACAAATTTACTTTTATTGAAGCGATCCGCAAGGGCTCCCCAAACAGGCGTGAAAACAAACTGAACAAGCGACCGAACTGCCACAAGAATACCAAGCTGTCGCGGTGATAGGAACAACTGTTTAAAATACAATGATAGATAAGGCCATAGCGATCCAAAAGCCGAGAAGTAGAACAGGTAAAATAGTTTGGACACCAGCCGTTTTCGGTTAATTTTACAATCGAAACGATGTTTTGAATTCTCATCTCCTTCTTCATCATTGACACAAAGTCTCTCAGTGGACATCCTAGAATCCTTCGGGCATTTTTCCATTGACTCAGCAGAACTGTTTTGGGATTTTCCAGAAGGCACGCGGGGCAAATCGGTTTGACAACCTTCATTGATACCTTAAACCGGGAGTTTGAGTTGCCTACAATGAGGTGACATCATCTGGAGAAACAGAAACAGTTTAGTTCAGTCAAGTTAATTTTTTATGCCTGAAGCAAAATTAACGCTTCATGGCAGGTACTTCAATTGTTCCTTTCTCCTTATAAGGAGATTGATTTGATGATCATTTAGTCATTAATAAAAACTTGATAGCCGGCCTGAACTCGGAAACAGATTTCCCATGAGTATAATAGGTCAAAGAAAAAGCCATCTCGTGAGTTTGTAAAACTGCATATTTAGCGTCACTGAGGTCATGAGAAGAAAATAATCGCCCTCGGAAATCACTGCTTCTAAATTTGTATTTCAACTGCAGTCAGGTCGTCAGAAGAGAAGAAAATACTGGTTAGTACTCTTTCCAAACAGATTTTATACCATACCATGGAGAACTACTCCTGCATTCCTTGGGAAAATAAGTACCTGTTCAGAGATTTATCTGTTAGATGCTTATATTTAGTCGGTCATATTGTAGTGGCATACGTAGTTTTCCCACCCTCACATTACTATAGACAATCACACCATTCTTAAACTGAACTCAAAAGCGAACAGATTTAGGCTACGAGTTGCACTATGGTGTGTAAGATCTTGGATTGATACGCTTCATGCACCGACAGAGCTAACTGTCTATTTTGTTTGCCTTGAAACCCTTCCAATAAGTAAACAGGTGCTTGATTGAAAATTACTAAGTGCCAGCCTATGGTAAAACGAGAGCGCCCAGTGTTAAGAAATCAATTGCAAACTGCAAACAGCATGACATCGACTTTTCACCTGCATTGGAGCCATTTGGCGAATGGCGACAAATATGAGCAATACATCATTAATATGAAGTGGAATAAGAAGAAAATTGGCAAGTAGATCAAGGGCACATTTACCTTTCGTGATAGCAAGAAAAGTGTTCCTTAAAATATCCAGAAGTATTGACTACGCGTTTTTTGGCATATGCTTTGAGTAATAATTTGTTTAAAAAGTCTCAGGGAGTGGCTTTTCATCATTAAAATCAAGTTTGGCATCAGTGTAAGACAACGATGCACTTACACCAGCCCTAACATGCCACGCGATAAGCTACCTGAATGGATAGATATAACATCAACCTTGGAGAGTCATCAGGATAACAACAACAACAACAACAGCAGGTTAGGTGCATCGAGCGTAAGTATATTATAAACGAAAGTTGAAAGTAATATATGATAAATCCATGGCGTAGGTCACTTTTGGATAATATCCAGTATCACCTTCGATTGCATTAGAATTCGATTTTTTATATCGTACAGTATGTGTGAATGGCGTCCATCAAAGCAGTATTTAGTCAAACATCTGCCAATTTGTTGCATTATAATCATAACTTTTTAATTTACATTTGGGAAAATTATCGCCCCTTTTACTTGAAATTGAGACGAATTGAATTAAGAGAGACTGTTTCCCACAAACTGGAATCCATACTTCTATGATTTTGTTCAAACAGAAGATAGATACGCGACTTCAGCATTATCCATGAACTGTCCTTCTTTTAATCTATTATATAGATTATATAGATTATATAGATTATATAGATTATATAGATCGATTGCTATAGCGCATTTCCAAATGTTCTAATGCGCTTTACAACACTGTGCGGGGGACTTTTCCAGACTGCCGGCGGCAGTTTACAATTAATAAAGGAGAAATTTTTTACAGATGCCCCCTCCCCCCTTCCCAGTAAACAGGCCAGACCACATCACAGTTATCTCGTGATGTGGATTCTTTAACATCCCCTGCCGAAATTAACTAATTGATAGGTGCAGGAGACGGGACCTCCGGCTTTACGTCCTATCCGAGAAGACGAAGCAATGGGAGTGAAGCGTCTTGCTTAAGGACACAACGTCAAGCCCCAGCCAGGACTTGAACCCGGGCCATCTGACCCAGAGTCCAGCGCACTGACCACTGGACTACTCACGCCTCACGGACTACTCACGGACTACTTAAAATGTTTACTCATTTGTTTATTTACTTATGTATCTATCTATTGGTTTAATCATGCTTTTATTCAATTTTCAACATCTTCATTGCTGGGAGGAGATTGGAGGAAGAACTTATAATCCAAAGTAAGCTAACATTCGTTGAAAGCCGAGTGAAGTCGAGCGAAGCCGAATGAAGCCGAGTGAAACCGAGTGAAGCCGCACACAGAATGAATGAAAAAGTGCTAAGAAATGGCAATCTCAAAAAGCATAGAACATTCAGGACTGTTACAAGTTTTTAATAGTCTAATATTCTCAATTGAGGTTATAAAAAAAATCAGTTTAATTGTGTTGAACTAGAATGATTGAGCCGAGAGTACAACCTGCACAACAAGGTTTCCAGAGTTTTTAGGAAACTCTCTACCGACAAGTTAGAATCAGACAATGGTCAGCATGTTTGAAGCCATATGGATTCAGTAGAGCTCATACGGACTCCCTTAATTTTTCAAGTATGTAAGAGGAAGTCTCTCTTCATTTTCCTCTCATCGTTCTTGTTTCACGCATTCTTCAGTTACTAAACTTGTCTGTTTGTTCTTTCGTCGCTCAACCATACAAACTATTGACCCAGATGTCTTGCAAATTTATGCCGACAGCTGGTAAAAGCTAAACATAGGCTAACAACCAATGATCCAGCGGCCAGCTCTCCAAGACAGCATAATTTTTTTCTCTAGGTTTAAGAGTTTCGCGGCTTTAATATCCTCACGTGGAATAGCGGTGTAGCATTTACAGTGAGGGCGTTTTTCCTAACAAGCACAACTGTTGAAGAACTCCTTTACATTTTCTATAGCGAATAAACCATTGAGTCACATAACACATCAAATAAGCCAAGTAGGATTATCAAGAAAATTCTCTTGACTTTTTTCCATGAATCGTAAAAATAATAACGAAATATCGGAGATCAGATTCTAGATATATAACTTTTCACTAACTTAACCATAAAACATCTTTTGAATAACAGGATATATAGAGAAATATGTTGTTCGTCTTGTCACGATTTTTCATGTGGAATCGAAGCTCAGACCTTCAGATTCCGCGCTCCGTTACTCTATCACTGAGCCACTCTATCACTGAGTCACAGAGACCATATAGTGAGCAAGGCCAATCAAGAAGTTCATATATGACACGCGTCCTGCACACTGCTAAGATCGGCAATGTCGATACTGTCATGTTCCTGAATAAAAGAAGAAAGATGGTCAATTTTGAGC